AGCAATTTAAAGGCTGCCAGCGTCTGGCTTCTATCACAGCTGTTTCATTGTCCGCAATGGTCTGTAAACAATTTTGGGTTTAAATTTTAGGTTTTTGGTCGCATTTTGTTTAAAGCTTTGGAGTTAGCACGACCGTCCTTACCCCCCCCCCCCCCCCGCCTTCCCCTCCCTTCCACTGTCGTCTGCACAATCTATGCAGTGTCATGCTCCTCACGTTCAGGACCTCTGTAACCGTGCACTAAATAACGTCCCCTGTCTGCTGCCTGTCTCGGTAGGCACGAGGACATAGCGTTCCCTGCCCCTCTGCGCCTGTTCAGATACCTACAGAACATATTGTGTGGTCCTACCTAGTTGCATGCTATATTCTCCGTGTTTCGGTGTTGGTCTTCTATCACGACCGAGATATTCAGGTTGTTCCACAAGATACCTCAGATTCCAGACGGCTGGCGGATTCGGCGTAATACAGTCTTCTGATCATGAAATTCATGAAGCTGTAAATCCGTCCGCAACACCTTGTCTTTCGACTGGATCATTCTGTGCTGCTGCTCATTGCGGTTTTCGATGGTTCCGTGCCGTTGAGATTGACTAAGATACCATTTCCACCAGTCTGGTATTGCATTGCGCGATATTCTTTTAAACCAACGATGAGACCTTACCTTAACCTTACGATGAGAGAAAATCTTACGATGAGAGTCCACCATTAAACAATGAGGGGTTCTGTGCCAATAAGGAGCCCGATACCGAAGGGAAAGGGGGGCCGGGGGGGGGAGGAGGCTTAATCCCGTTTCAGCCAACGGCCCGTTAGGGAAAACTTGAGTTTATGTGTCCATTGTTGTACCCCGTGCAACGATAAGGAATCTTTCAGCGTGAATCTGAACTGTGAACCCCTGCGTCAATCTGGGGCCAACTGCCATCGCCCGCGTCAGCGAGGGGACCAGTGTATGACGAGTCCCTCTGAAGGCACCTGGGCCGACCGCGGCACACCCACCCCCGTGACTCTAGAATGACAGCCGGTAGACGCCCCGCGCGGGGACGAAATGGTCCTTCTCCCCTGGCCGAGGATGATACCGTGCTCCTTAGTGTTCTATCCACGTCCTCGTCGTCGTCATTGGGGCTTTACGGCATACTCAGCTGCTGAGGTTATCTGGTGGTTCCTGACGTCACCATGGCGGAAAGGACGGCCACCGCAGGGAATCGAACCCAGCGGCTCTGGTTAGCCAGACGCGCGGCTCACCCATTCCGCTGTCGGCGCCACTGTTCTATCCAAGGGACTCTTGCCAGGATAATGGAAGGCGTCTTAGTTGTACCCTTCTTAATACAGGCGATAGCAATAATGTTAAAAATGAGGTCAAACCATTTTTTCCCGTGGACGTCATCTTTTTGCTGCTCCGAATAGTAAAACAAATTAGCTGCAGCTGCTACAACACGAAAAATATATTTCAACTTTTACCTTCAAGGTCCACCACCAGATTCCAGCACAAGTTTACGGGGCTGTAAATGTTTATCCGTGACTTTTGACAATTTAAAAACAGCACGGCAAAACATGCGTCAGGACTACTTTCTAAGTATATGTAAATGTCCCAAGGCGTTCAAAGGAACTTCTTTCAGATACGTCATCATTTTCATTAGTCCATTGATCATCCACTAACATTTACCACGAGGCCAACGCCACGGAGCCTGCGGAGACTGCAACGTAAGGCATCGGGTTTTTGTGTCTTAGGCTTGCGAGTGCGCCCTCCCACCATCAAGGAGTCCTTTCGAGACTCTGGCTGGGGCACTCTCAAGACTGGCTGCACCCCTGGCCTGGTCTCTTGTGCGCTTGCCGTTCCATTCAACTGTGACGGGTCCGGCACTGCTGTCACGACGGCCCCCATAGCACGCCATAATCTGACACGCCCGTGGACTGCCCGGCACAAACAGCGTATGCATGTCCGCACCACGCTCGTTCGCTGTCGATGCACCCTGGATGTACCACAAACTCAAACAAAACAGCACAGCGCAGCTATCTGTGCTCGTTACGTCAGATGAATTCTAAAAGAACGTTGTCAACACATCGTACTGTTCCTGACAAAAAGCAACCGCCAGTTTTCGTGACTTGTCCGATAAGTGCGCCGTTCCCTACGACGATTTTCACTGGCCACAGCCGTAGTTTCAATCTCCGGTGTCTCCTTTCGCGGCCGGCAGCTGGTCCCGACGCCTGCTGCCCGCTGCCCGCTGCTCAGCGTCCGCCTACCGCCGTCCAGCGAAGGCTGGCTGGCCGCCGTCCACCGTCCAGTCTCTGTCCAGCCGCCCAACGCAGTCGCCGCCACTTCACATTATTAATCGGCGGTAATGGATCGGGCTGGTGGCGCGGCCAGTGCGCCTTCCCGGCTCCGAGGCGCCCACGTCATTAAACAGCGCCCGAGCCGCGCACGACATGCCGCCAAATGGCCCATCTGGTCCGGCGACAGGCCGCAGACAACAGCGGTGCGGCGGCGATCCGGCCGCTGGACCAGGGCTGGACGGCGACAGAGCTGGACGGCGGCGGGGGCCGGAAGGCGGCGGGGGCTGGACGGCGACGGGGGTGGACGGCGCCAGCGACGGACGGCGGCGAGGGCTGGACGGCGGCGGGGCTAGACGGCGGCGATCCGACCGTCGGACCAGGGTTGGACGGCGGCAAGGGCTGGGCGGTGCCGGCGACGGACGGCCACCGGCTGGCCCGCGGCGAAGGCGAGGGCGTGGCGGCGCCCTGGCGGCGGTCCGCGGAACTACAACCGCAGCTCATACAACTCGAGCTGCTTGCTCCAATGAATGGCCCAACTAGCTGATGAATGGGCTCTCGAGGTTTAATGAACGCCTCACAAAAACTCCCTGGGCCATTAGTCTGACGTCCTGTGCGGATTATTGCGATGATTCCTGAAACGCAATCACTGCGTTGATAAGAGGCATGACGTTTGCGTGATCCAATTGGGTCCCGGGTCCGCGGGGTGCCTGCCGGCGGGCGAGGCGGACTCTGTCTTACCCTCCATTATCACGTCGCACGCATCTCCATGGGGCGTGGCTCTCACCAGACTCCACACGCGCCACACCGGGCGGAGCTGTCGTCCCACGCGAACACGCCGCCACGCGGACTCTTGTCTACCAGATTCTCGGAGGCGAATCTGAGCTGAGGGTGCGATCTCCGATCGTGTTCTCATCCTGTGGATCATCCTCCCTTCCTCCAAAACCTAGGTCGCGACGAAGCGCCAATCCCTTTTGCTGCCTTGGCTCCTCACTGCTGTATCGCCCTCCCCTACTCAAACACAGCACGGTGACCGGGCTCAGCGTGTGACAGCGCGGGCGACTGAGGCCGTACGGCCCCGCGCGGCCTGTGCGTCCGGCGCCGCGCCGCCGGCTGCCATTAGCGGCCGGGGGCGGCTTCTGTGGGAGCGGGCCGGCCATCACCGGTGGCGCGGTTCCGGTGACTTCCGCCGAGGCTAACAGGTGGCCGCCGCGCGCTGCGAGCGCCGCGCCGCGCCGCGCCGGGAAGGTCGCGCCGGCGCCGCGGTTCGACGCACTCGTCCGGCGGCGGGCGTGCTGGTCAAACTGCGCCACCACTGCCGCCGAGCAGGGGATCCATCAGGAGACGATGCGCTGCGTCTGACTGGCGACAGGCGGCCGGCGGCTGGTGGCGCAGGCAGCCTGCCAGCCAGAGCGGTGCCCACAGAGAGCCGACTGCAAAAGCCGGGCTCGACGCTCGCTGGCGACGGTAGTGACTCACCAGAGAGCGCTGCCAGAAATGAAGATGAAGAGCGGCTAGAGAAGCCATACAATCGCCGGATGCACCAGGAGCCAGGTAATGGCGGTTACTTAGAGCACCCTTAATGGCAGCTGATTACCCTCGAACAATACGGAAAACCTTTCCGTCGTCCAGCAATCCTCTACCGCCTTCAATACAGCAATGCCGCACAATATCTAGTGTTTGTTTGGAGTCTCCACCGTCCAGCCAAAAACACCGCCCAAAAAATACGTATCGAAACGATACAGGCGCTGAACAACTAAAAGCAGTGAGAGATGTCATCGAGCATCGCAGCAGCGGATAAACGAAACCGACAGCCACACCAAAATGATACACAGACTCACTCCACGGTTTTAGCGGCCACACTGGGTAAACGTTTAAGCAAGGAAAGTGCATGATATCTGAAAAGCTGTAAGCAATAGCTGACACCACAATAGACGCAGCTTAAAGCATGCATAAAATAATCATCCTAGTAACGGCTTCCAAACGACTTTGGAGCAAATGAAAGCCGAGGCTCCCCACATAAGGTGTGTCATTGCCCCGTCCGGTATCCTGGAGACGCCTGACCGCGCCGAGGGCGAGGCCACGGCTCGCTGTAATCGCCCCTCCAGAGCACGCGGCGGCTGTAAATGTTTAGCCCACGTACCGACACCATTTAATTGTCATGACCAGCAGTTCAGAAGCGATGGTCGAGGCGGTCAGACGGCGGCCCTCGTCCGAGTCACGGACTGTGCTTCGGGTGAGGCCGAGCACACCGCCATGTCCCCGCGGAGATTCGAGCGAGGATGAGGCCACTTTCCCGATCCCTCCACCGATATCACGAGCGGAACTGATGCTTCGATCACGGAAGCAGCTAGGACAGGTTGATGGTCAGTTCACCAGAGCGGATGAGTCAAACCAGGCGGGACAAAAGCACGCTCGGCCTAAGCTTTCAAAGGGGCTTCCGGCACGTTCAGCAACTGATTGTGGTGAACGCCGTTCTGACAGGAACTGCTGTGGAGTTGAACTAAATGCATAGTGTCAGTGGACGGCAGCAGACAAGGTTGTGTCTGAAGGTCACCGCCATTACATTGAGTTTGTCGGGTCCCTTGTACCACAGCAAGAGCGTCTCACAGCACGGGAAATAGATAATGCATCAACGAAACGACGACCTCCGACGCAGCACACCGCGCCGTCGTCAGGTCACGTGATTGGCGCCCCTCCGCACCTGCCGGCCCATCCGGGGCCACATTCCACGGCTTACCCGCTTCCGGTGGCTCACACCCTGTCCGCCGATCCTCTCGCTCCGCGCCCGTCACGGGGCTCACCGCCGCCACCACCGTGACACCTGACACTCACACCGGTGACACGGACTCGGCGCGCGCTCAGCCGGGCGACACCGGCGCACGACGGCTGGCCATGGTCGGCACTGGCGCAGGCCGGCCGCAGAGCAGGCGGTGCCGCCAGGTGCCGCCAGGTGTCGCCGCCGTACCTGCCGGCGGCCGGCGCTCAGCGCAGACGTAGGTGGCGCGCCTCAGTCGAGCATGACACGGCCAGGGAGGAACGGCCTCATCCGACACCGGCCGGCCGTGCTGAGCGCACCGCCAGCACCGCCGGCCCCAGCGAGGCTCGGACACCGCCGACCCCGGCGAGGTTCGGACACCGCCGGCCCCGGCGAGACTCGGACACCGCCGGCCCCGGCGAGGCTCGGACACCGCCGGCCCCGGCGAGGCTCGGACACCGCCGACCCCGGCGAGGCTCGACACGAGCTCAGCCGGTGCGGCTGAGCGGTTCTAGGGGCGGCACCGCTCGCCAGCCATCGGCACAGCTCCGACGCCCAACTCTGAAGGCGTACCTTGAACGCCGAAGGCGTCGTAGCTCGCCAGCCGCGGATATCTGCAGCTGTCAGTGAAGCCCAGCCTGCAGTTGCCAAGAAAGCTTCAGTTGCAAGCGGCCGTTACGGTGTAGCAGCTGGCGCGCCTCATGTCTCCACCAGTGCTGTCCGATTCTCCTCCCCATTACAATTCAAGCACACCATGTGCCTCCGAATCCACGGCCTCAGCCTCAGTGTGGCTTGTGAACCGTGACTCCACGGTTCACAGCTCCCCCCCCCCATCCTTCGTCGTCTCGCATCGCGGTGGACAGTGCCGGCGGTCTTGGCCCCAGCGTCAGAGAACTTGGCTACAGTACAGACGCGGCTGCCTGGGACTGGGTTAACGTGCAGCCGTGGCCGCCCGGGGCTCGGCTACAGTACACACGCGGCCGGCCGGGGCTGACCGCCCGGGGCTTGGCTACAGTAGAGACGCGACCGCTCGGGGCCCGGCTACAGTATAGGCGCAGCCGCTCGGGGCTCGGCTATAGTAAAGACGCGGCCGGCCGGGGCTGGTCGCCCGCGGCTTGGCTACACTACAGACGCGGCCGTTCGGGGGCTGGCTACATTATAGACGCGGCCGCCCGGGACTCGGCTACAGTACAGGCGCGACCGCCCGGAACGCCCTGCTGGGAACAGTCGGGGCAGAGGTCACGGTCACGCGAGAGGGAAACTTCCGTTTGCAGCGAAAAGACGTACTACTAGGAGGTGCACCGTGGGAAAAAACGACGTCGTAGCCAGTGGGCAACCGGCCCTTTATTGCTGCCGATTGGACATGGGAGTAATGGGGCCTTGGCGACGGTTCTGGGGTCAGCCCGGGCAAGGATCTTCTCCGCTCCCTCCGTTGGCTGAAACAGGTTGATCAGTAAGATGTTATGGAGGCCTATTTGCGACTGCTGACCGACCAGTGAGACATTCACACAGGACGAGCGTCGACATTCACTTAAAGGGAATGTTCCACCCTTTTGCAATGTTCTGTTATTGTTCATCAGGCGCGTACGATTTGATCAGCAAAACCAGTTTTCTTAAAATTATTTTGAATAGCTCAGAACTTTCATTTAAAGTAGCCGACCCTCCAGGAGAAATCTCATTTGACTCGCTGCTCACAACTACGAAAGTAGCACATTTCATTTACCTTGCTTTTTCTAGCATGTGTTCTGTGATGTTTGCAATACACCTGTGCGTCAAAATCTTTGCGTGATACATACAACAAAAGCTTGAAACACTCTTCAGATCTGCGAACAAGTTATCTCCGCTCGTATCGTATCGTTTTGTAAGTATCGGATGAAAGAACAAGTTAAACAACGAAAAAGATCTGCGAACATAAAGTTATTATCCCGCGAATTCAACAAAGCGTTGCACTGTGGCTTTAGTTTCTCCCCATTGGTGTTTACCGAAGTGGCTCTTCTCGAAGCGCTCTTTTGCTTTGGCAATGGGAGTATCATGCTCATTGTGACGCATTGATTCAAACTTGAACCAATATGCCCCTCGGTAACAGGCCTTGGCCCGCCGAGCCAATCACAAATGTTCCTTCATTCGCATCAGTAGAGTTGCGCACGGTGGTTGTCATGACGACAGTGGTCGCGACTGAAGGGAAGGAGCGTTATATTGGTACAAGGCGGTGGCAGCGTAATTTGCACTAAAAATTATTAAAATTGATATCCTTATTATGTCTTCACGATGCTGCAATGGCACTACCCAGTGCTATTATTGGATATAACTAGTCCTGAAGTTTCACGAGAGTATGTTTTCGAAATATACCCTTTAAGACGGGACTCGTCTGAGAGCAGCGCTCTCTACCGCCTGAGACAGCAGGCAGCGAGGAGCCCGGGAAGCGCCGAGTAAACTGGACAAGCCAGGGGCCGGGAAGTGAAGAGTACGCCGCAGCCTTCAGTCTGGAAGTTGCGCCAAGATCCCCAAAAAGATCTACGGCTCGTAACCCTAAAATCTGGGCACAAGATCTTCAGAAATCCGGGATATTTTCTAAAGTCAAAGAATCTCCTGGGGTCCCAGATTTTTTGAAATTTTGTCGAAATAGATTTGGGATCTGAAATATTGAGAACAAAGTGGTCGCATGACCTGAGATCCAGTGTCTGTTTACGAGTTTACAAAGGGATCTTGGGTATTGTATGGTTAAAGTCGTTTTCTGGAAGATCTTTTCAAATCTTAGAGTTTCGTTTAAATTTGGCCAAAGAATCTTTCAGGATCGATTTGTACACCTGTGCAAACTATCTTAGATAGGTGTGAAAGCCAGATTAATGATTGGCAAGGCTCTGCTTTAATTTTCTGATTTGAACTCATATTTATATCACTGCTATAGCCAGTGTGAATGTCATGGCTTTTTCCTCGTTATTCACATCCTGTCATCTCATTGGCAATCATAATACATCTTAGAGATACATGCGCAAGGTCGAATTCAATTATTGTATGATGTTGCCAGTACGATGACATCTGTACGTTGTTAAAGGCCCAGTAATTTTGATTAAAGGGCATGTGTCTTACTTGAAGGTTTTGAAGCAAGTATCAGTTATGATGAAACAACCCCACTTACAACTATGCTATACTTTTTAAGCAGCAAAAACAACTAGAGACAGAATTATTCTCTGTTTAGTAAATATGGTCCTCAACCCGTCATGGTTTGATAACGTCATCGTACCATGCACTTTTTCGATTAAGAGATAGTTGGCGGCCGTTATGTCAGGAAATCGCGCTCACGAACGCCAGATATGACCGCATCGACGGTTGTATTCTTATGGGCCTTGATCGCCAAATGGCTTATGGAATGGCAGGATTTGACTGACGTTCTTATGATGTCATGAATGCCAAGGTGACTTTGAAATAATCTCACCGAAATACTGCCCCACCTCGCGGGCGTGTAGGTCAGAAACTAAAGGGGCCAGGTCTTAAGAAGGGCAGGGTTGTTGTCACCACCGAAAAGTGTTCAAGATAGCTATTTCAATTCAAACCCCCATATAAATGTGGAAAACTACCTTAAACTAGATCGATTTGCTTTTACCTCTTCATCTTTCGTTTGCGTCGCTAATTCTTCAAATATCGATGGGCCTAACCGTTAGTTATCAACATTAGAAGCACGTTAAATATAAGTAGCACACAGTACTGCGGTATTCTGCAAACAGACAAAACCTGCCTTCTAGAACTATGTAGGACTAGACGGGACTGGACGATATCGCATAGAACTGCAGAGACCTGGTGGCATTGGACAGACGAGACCTGGGACCGGGCGGGACTGAGCGGAGCCCGTCGGGGCTAGATTGGACCTGACGCGATGAGATGGGATCAGACGGTGAGGACGTGACCAATAGCAGCGCTACTGTACAGGACTGAACCGGACACGACCGACCAGGACCAAACAGACCCGGTCTGATCTTGTCCGGTCTGGTATGGTTCCATATAGTCCCAACTGGCCTCGTCTGGTTCCATCTGGCCTTTCCACTATCGTCAGATCCCGCCCTGTCCCGTCCGGTTTGGTCTGGCTCCATTTGGTTCCGTCCAGTCCAGTCCACTCCTGTCTCGTACCGTCCAGTCTCGTTCAGTCCCATCCGATTCTATCGAAGCCGAGGGATCTTCGGGGATCTGGTTTTTAATTTTTTCCAAAGGATCTTGCATGACCCGGGATTTTTTTGTTTAAGATGTTGTCGAAAAAACTTCCGCATATTCGATCTATTTGGGGGAATCCTGGCACATGTCTGCGGTCTAGACCTGGTGAGGCTCTGGGCCTGATCTCGACCCCCGTTGTGAAGCTTTTTTATCACAAACATGCCCTAGGTCGTTCAAGTTTAGAATAAGGAAAGCGATATGTCGTTAGCATTGCAATGGTGCACTAAATAACGCTTCAGCCATCCAGCAGCATATAGCCATGCGCATAAATTGCAAGGCGCACAGCAATTTTTTATGGAGCCACGTTTTCTGCTGATGAGAACCGCATGAAATCGCGAACAGTGCCTGCTAAGGTGAGTTTGTAAAACTGTGATGCCAGGGCCGGGTAAGGCCCACCGTTTGAGTTCAAGACGTTCGTACTGATGGGTTAAGGGTAACTCACCCAACAACCTTGCTCATAATTCTAAGAAAAAGCAGCTGTTCCATGGCGGCTACCTTCTTATTCCCTGTCTCTCAAACTTTCTGCTTTTCTTTGGCTTTCTGACAACCTTAATGTTTTGGTTAGTTCTTAATTCACCCTTCATTTTCCTTTCCGCGTTCACGTAATCAGTCATCCCTCCATTCTTCTGTGCTCCAATACGCACTGCCGGCTTGCTTGTCTAAGCCCGGTGCTCCAGCGCGTCTTCCTCCGTTGGCTGCCCTCCCGCGGTCGGCCATCTTCACCTGCGGGCGCGCGTGGGAGTGTGCGCGCTCCACACCCGGCAGCTCGCACAGTTTCCGCGGACAGAGCGTGGCCACCGGCGCGGCCCAGCCCGGCCGCAACGGCCACGGGCGTCAAGCCGCGCACGGCTGCACATGGAGAGCACGCCCCAGGCGGCATGTTCGCCGAAACACCACCGAAAGAGAACTTATCCGGAAACCTTCA